TAGGGGTCAGCGTTGCCGACCCTCAGGCCTTTGGCCCGCCCCACCACCAAATGTTTTATTGAGTGGTGGGCTTCTGGGGTCCCTCAGACCGTTGAACTGAAAACAGAGTCTCTCTCTCTCTCTCTCTTCTTCCTTCAGGTCCAAGGGGGCTCGTTACGCCCCCCGGCCCATAGGGCCTCTCTCTCTCTCTTGCCTGCTTGCTTGCTCGGGGTTTGGGTGCAAGCACCCCGGCCCGCGGGCCAACCCCCTCGCGGCTAGCGTCTGTGTGTCTGAATGGCCCTTTTCGGGGTGCAAGCGTGGCACGTTCCCTCAAGTGTGCCTTTGACGGAAGCCCCGCGAAAAACACCACTCCTAAACCATGACCAAGAAAAAACCCTCGAAGGCAGCGCTTGAGTCCTCCAACTAACGTTTTTTTGCAGGATCACTTAATTGAAAAACCACCAGGACCTTAGGACAACACAGTAGGCATGGAGGCTGTTTGTGTTCCTGCTCAGCCACTTTCTACGGGGATCCCTATTCCGGCACTGGCTCAAAGAGTACGGGCCAACAAGAAATACGGGCCATCAGATAAAACATAACAGAACACTGCGTTTCTGGATTGCCTGGCCCTGGACCCGCCCGCTGTGGCAGGCAACATGGCACTGCAGTGGGAGCTCCACTCCTCTGCATAGAAGGCTCATTCAGCACCCCAACCTCACCTGCCTCCCTGCCTGAGCCCGAACAGGACCTTGCGCGCAACACTGCCCGTCCCTGAACCTCTGCTTGGCACTAAGTGGCTGCTTGTCTGGGGCTTTTCTTCCGTAGAGGACCCTACCGTGAACGATACACGATCCGAGATGTGAGCAAGGTATGGCCCCCTCTCTCTCTCTCTCTCTCTCTCTCTCTCTCTGCCTCCACCACAAGACCTTCGTGCTGCATCCACTCACGCAGGGCATGAGGCGATGCAAGTCCAAGCAGCCTCGAAGCCAAGCATTTTCTGTTGACAGCACCAACATGAGAATTGGGCCAGAATTGGGCAGCTGCCACACCACCGGTTCGCTGAAGTCGGCTGTTGTGTTGTGCGGCCTGAATACAACCCCGGGCCGCCAGGGACTGCATGGCCGCATGCATCATGCATCATGCATCACCCACTTCCACTGACGAAGGTGCAGCCCCCATTATCGAAGCCTGCTCTCTGATCTCATACGGGGGCACGTCTCACCTCCACGAGTTCGGCTGAAGATTCTTAGGAAAGCATGTCGCGGAACTTTTGCTTCTTGCAAGAGCTGTGCGCTGATCACACGCTGGGGTTCGGGCTCAAGACTTGCGATGCGCTGTTCAACTTCGGGTACACTTCGACATGGACAGCCTGCAACGCTCAAATTCCCACTCTGCGACACCGCCTTCGTTGCGGGTTCATGGCAAGTCTAAACAATCTTCTCGTTAAGCCGCTCGTGACCATTTGCCAGCCTTGCACTTCAGCGCATGTCTCGGACAACCGAAAGCGGTCCAACAGCAAAAATCCGAAGACTTGCAACGAAACATCAGCGAGGAAGCCACATCAAACGGTGCTGCACCCCTACAATTATAAAAGCAACTAATTGAATCCGATTCCTCAGGACAGGGCTGTCAGGGCACTGTTTCCTTTGGGCTTTAAGCTTGCCCTTAAACTTGCTTGACGAACACAGGCTGAAAATTATGCCAGCGTAGATCCCCAAACATTGGTAGAGCACCACGACGACCATGACAAGCACTATGACCAGGACGATCGACCACGACCACCGGCAGACCAACACCAGGGGACTACGAGGACACCCCAGCAGGCCACCTCCCCAGTACCGGGGATTCAGGAGGACTGCCAAAATGCTCTCCCCAAACACTAGGGGGATTCGGAGATTTCGATGCCAAACAGTGGCCAATGTTTTGAAACTTACCTTGCAGCCGGCTTTCCTGGGTCGCGGGAATCCTGCGTCTGTTTGGTTGTAGGATGTGAGCACAACACATGCACCGGGCAGCGTGCGCCGCGTCCCGGAAAAATGCTCTTCCACGCTGCGCCACAATGTTCGGGAAATGGCAGCCTCCTTTGCGGCAGCACAGGCTCAGTACAGAGTCATCATCCCATGCATCCTGCTCAGAACAGCTGCAGGAGTGTGTCGCATAGGGAAACTGTACCGTGGACTTTTTGCATCTAGGCCTATTGCGACTGAACCATGGACTGAGCTTGCTGAACACGGGACAGCCGAAGATGCACATCATCGCGATCTTAAAAAAAACAATCCGGGTGTCGTCTCGCAAAATAAAAGCACATTCTGTTTGCGAAAATGACGGGGCCGAGTTGTACGAATCCGATGGCATGAATTGTAGACCGTCGCGCCGCCCACCGACGTGCATGAAGACCCTACGGCTACTTAGTGGCTGCATGGCTTGGTATTAAGTCTCATACTTTGCGCTCGGATCAGAGAAGCATCTTGACGTTCCAGGCGCCATCTGCATTGCCAGATGCAGACATTAAGCTAAAGGTCTCCGCCCCGCCCCCTTCCAGCGTGCTTCTCCAACTCCCACGCCCATCACCACCAACAACAAAAGCCAGGACGACGACGACGACGACGACGACGCCACCGTACGAGCACGTGGCTCGTCACAACCGCATCACTGCTGCTAGACATGGACACATATGACGGAGAAATACGCACCTCGCACTGCTGAGGCAGCCATTGCCTGAGAGGTTTGTGGTGCCCGTGTGGATGTCTTTGGTTTGGAGGCGGAGTCGAAGGCTCAGGGCCCCGCTCGTTTGGCAAGCCGCGGATCATCTCTACCCGAAAGCATGCGGGCATGAGACGCCTGAGCAGGGGGAAGGAAGCCCTGATTGAAGTTGCGGGAACCGAGCTTTGCACTGGAGCATCTCCTCGCTTAACAGTGGCTTGTCCATCAGCACCTTATCTGAGGCATGCTCACGACACATCCATCCTTCTGACGCAGCTTCACGGAATCCTGCATGCTGCATTCCCAGGCCCGCACAAGCACATCCAAGCTGTAGAGCCCAGCAACCTCAGTGCCAGAGATTGAACCCAGCCCGGCATTCAGGCTGTTGCCCGTGGCTGCGGGTGCACAGAGACTGCACATTGTGTCGAGGCACGCCGAGCGAATCAGTGAAGGTAGCTGCCACCGCGTTGCGCGGGCGAAGCCGTTTTGACCTCCGTGTGGGCCAGAGCGGAGCTGGTGCTCGGGAAGTGGTACATTCGACTCCGACTCGACTTCGCCTCGGCGGCTCTCCAGGGTTGTACAGCTCCGGACCTCAGCGCAGCAGACCAGCCCGCAGAGTCTGAGCAACCGGTTGATTTTCGCTGGGTGGCTTAAAGCCTTGCTTCCGGTAAGAAGAAGCGGTCCCAGGCATATCCTGGCCTCAAGACTTGAGAAAACTGCATGCTGGGGCTGGCGGGTTCTGTCGTTCAGGAGGATGGTGACGTGTCTAGTGCTAGACCAGGTGATCAGTTGAAGGCCGGTGTGCCTGGCTGGCAATCTCCCGGCCACCTGTGCTCTAGATGGTTTAGGACATGGAGTTACTGGCTCGCTGGTAGTGACTACTAGTACCTGGTCATTGCTACTGAAAATCTACAGTAGCGGGAATTTCCAGCAACTCGTCGTTGCAGCGAATGCACAGGAATGGACGAAAAGGACAAAGGCATGAAGAACTGGAGCTGCAGGTGCCTTCCAACGCGACAGAGATGGGCAGCTTGGCTTGCTGGATGCCTTTCACGAACTCGAACGTGACCTGATCATGGTTTCCTCATGTCCATGCTCGCTTCCACGGATACGTAGCGATTTCGCAGCCGCCCCAAGCTTGGATGATGGCATTAAAGCTTCCCAGGTCCTTCTCAACACTTGCCGTTTGCGCACCTGGTTCACTGATCAACACTGAGAAGTGAAGCTAGTCAGGGCATCGCCCGTGACATCATCTTTGGAAGAAGCCCAGCTTGCCGTCTAGTGAGTCTCGTGCTCCTCCTGAAAAATCCTCCGGCTTACTTGCTCAGTACACAAGGACCGGGGCTAGGAGACACCAAATTAAACTCCTCGGCCAGCAGATCTGAAGGAGCGGGGTTGGCCACTGTCGATTCACATGGTGGGTGCCACAAGCAGCTGGGAGCATTGCAGAAGGAAAACTGCTCAACATTCGTCTCACTCTCGTATAGGTGGATGAAAAACATGATGGTATCGGAAGCGAGACCAGGGTCCAAGTTCACGTAGTCTTGGGCTGACAGTTATAACATGTCAGAACTCCTTCTTGATGTGCATTTTCACGAGGGCTTGCAGGATTCTTGCTCCGTGCCAAGGTGTTCCGAGTCTCGAACTGCGCCCACCTGGGCCGGCCTGCAGTCATGCCGACGGACACACATATTTTTCTTCGACATTCGCACACATTGGCTTTCAGCCTGGCGTTGCTTGGTCTCGCCAGAACTCAAAGATACCTTGGAAAAAAAGATACAGTCGGCTTTGTTCTGCAAATGCCGCACGTCTTCAAAGCATCGGACTGCTACTGGAGCCGCAAGATCTCCATTAGCACCCAAAAAGGGCCTCGTGGCTCTGAGATCGACATAGCTTTGAAGGAACAGACTGTGCTGTGCCATGCACTGAGGGGAGGACAGCGATACGGAACATCCACCAACTGACGGATGAAAGCTAGCTTGCCTTGTCATTCCAAGCTCGCCGAGCAACGCAGAATCTAGCAGCCGCCCGAGAGCGTGGCAGTTGAAGCTTGAAGGCGACGCTTCTGGGTTCGAAGTCCCAAGTGAAAGGCTTGGCCATTCAAGGATTTCTCCTTGCGCAAATGCCTAGGACACAATCACCAGCGTTTTACTGGCAGCACCGGTGTTCGTAGACGCTGAGCCCCCCTGCAAGGTGTGCAGGGTCGTGCAAGGTGGCAAAGGGCTATTGCCGAAATTCTGGGTGAAACGCTAACTGCCCATGACGCAAGAAGTTCGGAGAACATTGAGCACTGCGGCTGCAGGGAAGCTCAACTGAATGCAAGAGGCTGAGGTGCAAGCGAAGCGTTCCAACGCAATCGAGGCAAGACGATAGGCAAGCCCTGAAGGGTGAATGGGCCAATCCGTTTCACCTGCTGGGTGACATGAAGTTGCATGTGTGCAGGCGGCTTCTCTCGGTGGTGAAACCATGCAACACACAATGCTGAATGCTTCAAAAGGTTTTCAATGCGAAGCAGTAGATACTCCATGATGCTTACATCCACTGCAACTCTTCCAACTACTGCATCACCCAACAGTTCAAAGCAGGCAACAATGAAACTGCGATCGCGGCTGTATCTTGCGAGAACGTCGCAGAGGCGTGGCCTAGATCTCCTCCTTAGTGGCCGGCAACACTGTCAAGAGCAGCAATCAAGATTCAAGGATTCATGTGACGTGTGCGCCAGATTGCGCCAGTATGACCACTCAGCACTCGCTTAAGCTGTCCGTTAAGTGCGACCCAGGCTCACTCTGCACATTCTTGTAAATTTGGGCCATCAAGCCGCCAGTCCTTGCAAGGCAGGGGAGGTTCGTTTGCAATTGTCGTTTTTCGGCGAAGCCGCGTCGGAGTTTCACTTTCAATCAGCTATTCAGCATTGATTGCAACCAAGGCCAGCGCACTCCGCATCCTTTGCCTGCGCCAACCTGGCACAGGCACTTCTGAAGCACGTCACAACTCCGACGTCTCTGGGGATGCTGCGAACTTCTTACTGTCCCACATCTTTGAAGCCTGCCGCAAACATTTCACAGCGAATCTCTCAGTTTCTTGAGAACCTGACTAAGACTTAAGAGTGCCCTGAGGATGGCACAACCTGCTTGTTGTGCATGTCTGTGTTGAGCATTAACCTGCACTGGGTTATGGCCTGGTGCCGTCAGCTACGCTGGGACTGAAGGGGCACGGGCGTTGTATAGGCGAGACCGAAGAGGACCTCGTCTGGCTTCCGATATGTTTGACGCCTGAGCGAGGCGCATTACGTGAGGGGATCAACCATGGCAGCTGCAGTCGGTACCACAATACAAGGGCGTCGCAAAGCCTCCATAGAGCTTGCTTGGAAGATGAAGGCTGCTCAACAAGCTACTTGCTACACAGACTTGCTGAGTGGATCATGTACGCCGCTGCGTGACAGCTTACGAACAATGCTCAGAAGGCAGAGCAAAGGATCAAGCATTGGGATGATAAGGCACAAGGTCATCGTTCACATGATTCACATGCCGTACAGTGCCGCGAAGCACAAGCACAACGACCGGCTCTGGTATCCTGGTTCACCCGTTCTTGCAGGCCGGCCCCAGCCCCTGCATGGCTCTTTGCTCTGAGGTCGGGTCTCCTTTTCAGGAAGCATCGATGCCTCGAAACCTGGTATCAAGAGGCGCTTTCCCGATTGCCAGGCAAGAGGTGCACGACTCATCAGGGCGGCTGACACGATAGGAATGCAGCATCCGCAACCTCTCAGTGAGGCAGGACATTGGCACGACAGTAACACGAAGCGGCTACGGGCTGGAGGAGTCAGAGGGCGACACAAGCGCTTCTGCGAACGCCTCGATGACCCGCTGGACAGGGTCAGCCTGCTTCCACGGCCACCGCCAGCTCTGTGTACGGAAGAGGCATAAACCGAACTGCCTCGAGCTGCGACATCTTGATTGCATTTGCGAAGAATGAGCGCATGGCCGACCTCAGTTCAAAGGAATTTAACACTATGTAGTCGTTCTGTCCCTCAAGCACGCCGCATCCAATGATCAAAGACGCAGACACAAACAAATTACCGTTGCTCTTGTCATCAGCGGTAGACGACACGCCACCCACCATGCCCAAGATCCAGTCCTTGGTGCTTCGTCACAGAGATGCAGGACAGCACCGTGCAATCACAGCATGGCCATTCTAGACAGGCTGGGTTGTCAGTTTGAACCATACAGTACAGGCTCAATGCCAGCTTGGGGGCGGACAGTTCTACTCATTCGTCTTCTAATGGACCTAGGAGGACAAGATCACGTTGCGCGGGTTGACGCTGGACTCATTGAGATTGGAACTGGGATCGAGCTCGGGGTCGCGAAGACTCTGAAGTCGCCGCAGGCCCAGCCGAATTACTCCTGGATGACCTGAAAGCAAAGTCGCGGCTCTGTTCCTTCCGCCTCAGAAGAAGTTGTGCAGGCTTGCAGGCTACCGTGCGTAGGCTGTGTTTCTGCCCGAGCGCGGTAATTAAGTAGAGAACTGCCGGCTGCCAGGCGAGCTGGCGGCGCTTTCCTCCCGAGCGCTCTCTCTCTCTCTCTCTCTCTCTCTCTCTCTCTCGGCAGGGTTATGGACAAGGGGGTTACCCCCCCTGCCCGCGCGCCAGTCGGCGCCCCCGACATGTGCAGGAGCCTCTCTCTCTCTCCCTCTACCGGGGCAAAGGAGGAAGGCGGACCGCGCACCCGCAGTCCCCGAGCGCTCTTTCTCTCTCTCTCTCTCTCTCTCTCTACCGGGCTAGGAGGAGCATGGTAACAGCATCACACTTTGGACTCCCCATCTGCCTTTGCCATGCCGCCTCTGTCTGCTGAGTAAAGCACGAGGTTGACAAGACTGTGGTTGCCACAACACCCTTCTGAAAGCAAACTGAGGCTCCGACCACATAGCTGCACTGGGGTTCGAGTGTACTATCATCATACCACTGGCTAAAGACACACAGCTTGTGAGGACCGTAGAGGAGACAAGAGTGCACTAGGGCTTTCTCTCTCTTGCATGCATGCATGCATGCATGCATGCATGCATGCATGCACAGCGTTGCTCTCTCTCTCTCTCTCTATTTCTTTCGTCAGGGTTGTGGGCAGGGCTCTTTGTCGCTCTCGCTTTCTCTCTTTTCTTTCGGCAGGGTTGTGGGCCAGGGGGAAATCCCCCTAACCCGCGCGCTGTCGCGCCCCCAACCGCTTTCTCTCTCTCTCTCTCTCTCTCTCTCTCTCTCTCTCTACTCTCTCTACGAGGCAAGAGCTCCAGGGTGGTCCAACCCTGAAGCCCGCGCGCGAGCGCGCACCCGCGGTCCATCGGGTGTCTGACTCTCCCCCAGTGGGTGTTCCCACGAGGGGCTCGGCTATACAAGGAAGCAAAGAAAAGTTCCCCAGAGGTGTGCTCACAGGCAAAGGGGGCGCAACTACCAGCAAAACAGCAAACCAAGTAAGGCTCCGGCCAAATGAATACGAGCCTACGTCCCCCCCCTTCGCCCCCCCTCCAGGTTGAATGGCAGGGCAGAAGGAAAAACATGCATTGTTCTCCCACAGCTTGTGTGTATGCGAATTTGCGTCTTCTGGTTCCCCGAATTTGGAGATCACTGACTACATCTTGAGCTACAAGGTGAGTTAAAAAGAAGCGAGGATTACGGGCACTGTGTCCCCTTGTACAAGTTGAACGGAGGGTGGCTGGCGAGCCCAAAAAAGTTCACACCTAAAACTCAAACTCCCCCTCAGACAGTACTCGGTCTTTTTGCAAAGCTGCCGCGGTTGCCATCGAGCTCCCCCGGAAACGAGACAAAATTGCATCGAGGAGATATGTTTCTCCCCCTTTCGCTCACCCATCAGCTTCGCTCTTTTCTCGCACGACTTTTTGCCATGTGTGCTTGGACAAGTTGCACACTTCTCCATGCCGCATTTGGGGTCAGCTGTGCTCTCCCCCTTGGGCTGTCCTGGCCTCTGGGATGGCTTTGGTGCCTCGGCAGCGGGTCCCCCGCAGGTTCACAGAGGCTTTTGTGCCAGCACTCCAGCACTTTCTCCTCGATCCGATGGGCGGCCTGCTTCCCCCCACGGCCATGAGTGAGCACTGGCGGATGGTTGTAGATTCTCCTCTTCTGTGCTTCCCCCCCCAGTCTGGAGGAATATCACCGTCGAGCTGCTCCCCTTTGTCATGGCCCAGAACGTCTCCATGTTCCTTTGTCTCAAGCTCTCCTACTGGCAGGTTCGCTGGCTTGTCCTCCCCCGGTACAGCCCGAGCGGCGACTCCCCCGGGTAGTGGTTGGTAACGAGGCTGCCTTGGTGTTGTGGTTGTCGTCGACGAGCTGGTCAGGCGCAAATCTGCCTGGTGCTGCTTTTTCCTCCGGCTCTTTCGGATCTTCTTTCGGATTTTCCGAACTTGGCCAAGCACTGCCTTATCTTGTGAGGAAAACGGGCTGTGTAGACACGAGCTTCCTCCGCGACTTTCGGCAAGTATTTGTCTACCAAGCGGATGTAGCGGTCCACTTTGTCCCCCAGTCGGCTCCGCGCAGGCGTCTGGCGTGGTAGGCTTCGAAAGACTTGGCGTCCTTTTTTGATAGAGGCTTCCCCGTTGAAAGGTCGAGGTATCGGCCGGTATCATGATCTTTCCCCCGGCCTATCCAAGTGTCAAGGCTTTCAGGTTCGAAGAGCAGGATCCTCCCCCCACGGGTCTCAAACTGTGTCATCTCTGCAAGTGGTCGCGACGAAGGTGGCCTAAAAGCCGCGGTGTCCCCTCTTGCAGGAGGTGGTGCTTCCTGTTGTGGGTCCCCCTGCACAGGGCGGCTGCGCTGAGGTCCATTTCCTTTTGCCGTTGACCCATGCAGGCGACACTGTGGATCTGACCGTTCATGTGACTTTCTGAAGCCAGTGGTACAGATGCCTTCCCCGAGTCTGCACAGCTTGCATTGCTTGTCCATCCCCCCTTTATGTAGTTTGAACTTCACGATGTCGCCCTTCCTGTCCAAGCCACGGACATTAACTGGATGGTGTCCCCCGTCCAGCGTAGAGGTTCGAACTGGTCACCGTGGCCGCGGTCTCGAGAAGGTCGTTGGTGGAGAAGTGTTCCTCCCCCTCGGATGGGGAGTCCAAGAAGAAGGTCTTGCAGCGTAAAACTCCCCTCCAAGGATCTAGTTGTGCGATCTTGATTATTGCTCACCTCTAAGGTCCTGCAAGGGCCACTGAAGCCAGGTGGCAGCGGTTATGAGGCTCAAGCCTTCCCCCGCTCGATGGAACGTCCACCCAATGGGGATGCTGGGGACAACCAGCAACCCCAGATGGCCGTCCTCGAGCGCCCCCCCGAAGGGAAGCGGCAGGTCGACTTGAGCCAAAATGGCTACCTCTCTCTCTCTCTCTCTTCCACACAGACAAAGGAAGGGGCGCTCCCCTCCCTCTCTCTCTCTCTCTCTCTCTCTACCAGGCTGGAGAGACTAGGTGCGTCCAGACCTAGCCCTCTCTCTCTCTCTCTCTCTACAAGGACACAGGGCGGTCGAGCCCTGCGCCCGCAGTTCCCGCGTGTCTTTGCCCCCCCTATGGATTGTCTCCACAGAGGGCTCGGCTATACAAGGGAATAGTGTGAACACTCCCCCCACGGAGAGTTCCGCACAACACATAGTCAAAGCTGGACGTCCCCTGTGTAGTTCATCATTTGGGCTACAGCCGTAAAGTATAAGATAACTCTCTCTCTCCGCGCGATGCAAACCTCCTTAAATCCTCATGTCGCATCATGTTGCCAATGCCCTCGGGCCGCTACGTCTGACTTGCTTCCTTCATACAGAGACGCTGCGCAAAGTACAAAAACAGTTTGGCGATGGTGATCAATGGTGAAGCTGGTGGCGCCTCTGGGATCTCCAAGGTCTGCCTCCATTCCACACGCCTGTGCTTGCGTTCTGAAAGCTCGAAGGACTGGAAAGCTACGCCTCTTCACTGTTGCAATTTTAAATTCTTGCATCCAACACAACTTGGCTCCTCACCACTCAGACTCCCACAGCTTCGTGTATGCCTGGAGGCTATGGCCGGTTGAAGTTGAACTGGGGGTTGAAGGCGGATGATATCTGCGGGCTTTGAAGCCTTGAGCAGCTCCTTGCAGTGTGGCTTGGGGCTGCCTCATCTGGAAGCAGCTTAAGCGCGTGGTTCGCAAAGCTGCCATCTGCGAGTGCTTAGCCACACACTGAGAAAGCGAGCGAGGTTCTGCCTGTCAACCTGAGACTGCACATGCAATACAGCTGATGCCTAACGACGTGACGGCTTCTGGGCAAGGTACCAAAGCGCAGTGGGCCGCCTGCAAATAGGCCCAAGCCTTGAGATCAGGTCAAACACCATCACAGCTCGCAGCTTGCACATGCGGTCCGCCCATGGTCGTGCCCTGGCCACGCCTTCTGCTCCACGGTCAGATCCAAATCAGGGGAGGGCTCTGGCCTTTGAGTCAGAATTGCTTTGTGATGCAGGGCGCTATATAGAGGGTAACAGACAAAGCTGCCGACAACGAGATGTCAACTGCCAGTTTCTCGACCTGGCTTGGAGCGTGACTATTACACTTGTTGCAGCAGTCGTCGCTCATCGGATGCACTCCTCCGTGCATTGAATAAATGCTTTCCGAGTCTGCAGCTACCTAATTGCTGGCAAGTCTCCATTAGAACCGAGAAGAAAAACCAGATGAAAGATGCGGAGAAGTGGCTTCGGAATTTGTTCACATTGTTGCAGTTGCGTGCTGCTTTTTCTGAAGGTTGGCTCCGCAACTTTCCAATGCGCCTTGGTTACTAGTGAGACCTCCTGATTATACAACCCCCCAAACAACCTGGAATCCGGAATAGTGTTGGGGTGTTTTTTGTCTGAAGTTGCGGAGTTGTTTGGGGGGGGTTGAACCGGGGGGGGGGGGGGGGTCGAACTTGTTTGCGGGCGGTAATGGTGCAGTAGTATAGTAGCTAGTATCACAGTAGTAGTACAGTAGTACAGTAGTTGTAAAGTACTGCACAACAGTAGTACAATAGTGGTACAGTAGTCGTACAGTAGTACAGTAGTAGTACAGTAGTGGTGCAGTCGTGGTACAGTAGTAGTAGTAGTAGTAGTAGTAGTACAGTAGTATAGCAGTAGTAATTACTGTAGTAGTACAGTTCCTCGCCCGCCTTCAGCTTTGTCTCTCCTCTTCCAGGGCGTCGTAGTAGCAGCGTCTGTTTCCCCTAAACCTCTAAGAATAATAAAGGCCGGACGGGATTTTAGCACTATTGACGGGACTAAATCATCTGTATTATTCTGTGCTCTATTGAGGGGGCGTTTTATTATTTTGTGCAGGGCCGAGTTTCGCTTTAATAATCACGAGCTGACATTACGCAGGGTGGGGGCTGAGGTGGAGGGGACGGCTTGTCGTCTGAACCCATGCACACCTAAAGACATCCGACAACAAAGCGTCACGCATCCTCCTCGGTTGCGAAAATCAGAAGTGGAGTCACAGAAAATTTATGCAAGCTTTGAAAGGCTTGGTTTCACCTGGCATGTCTGCAGGGCGGTAGCGGGGTTTGTCAAAACACATAACACTGTGTTGAATGGATGCTGTTCCTCGGGCGTCAGTGGATCATGTGGTCCATGAGCTGTGACGTGTTCCGCATATGTAAGCCCTGCAAAGGTTGTAAGGCTAAGCATGCGAAGCTATGCAGGCAACAACCCCTTCCGACAGATGGCCGAGGAACTCTGGAAGAGTCTTTGATTCGCTGACAGAAGACCAGGAGCAGCTGATTGATGATTGAGGACCTAGAGGAGAAGTCGGCTCGACTTCGTCTACTGCTAGCAGAAGAAGCCCCGTTGGAGGGGTGTCGCTGTGCTGGAGCGCATACGGCCGATGAGGTTGAGAACGTGCGAGGCTTGCTGGAGGATATGATGGACTACCTGACCACGAACAAGCGAGCTCTGCGACAAGAACAGCTGCTTCGGTGTCTTCGTGTGGCGGCAATGGCTCAGGAGGAGATTGACTACGAGCGGTTGTTGGAGGAGCTCGAAGGCGATCTGGAGGTGGTTCACACGGTCTCAGTGGAGCTAGTTCGTGCGGCCCTGTCAGCTGGCTTTTGGATGGTCCCTTGAAGGCGATGCCGCTCTCCCGGGCGCGTGACTTGGAACGCCAGGGCAAGCTGAAAATAGTGCCGTCGAAGGCTGTGCGTACTTTGAAGCCTCCGACCAACAAGGGTAACAAGGCAAGGCCATTGGTCTTCTGCGGGAACTTTGCGGTTCGAGATGATGTGGCCTACGATTTGTACGCTGGCGGAGCATCCGCCGAAACATTATATTATGAGGATTGCCCTGACCATAGCAGCTGACCGGCAATGGACTGGAGTGACTTCGGACATCACGGTAGCTTCCCTCTTGGCAACGTGGCCCAAGGAGCTAGCAAGGTACGCCATCGTGCCACCCCGCATGCTACTGGATGTCGGCTTTATTTCAGCAGATGAAGTTTGGGAAGTGCTCGAAGGGTTCAGGGAACCGCTAGCTATATGGAGCAAGTGCTGCTCGAAGAGAGTGTCTTCGGCGAAGATTCCATGGCGTGGAAGGACGATCATCCTCAAGCCCAGTAAAGCCGATCCGGACCTATGGCTCGCCTATGACAGCGAGAACAACCGCCGCACTACTAGCTCAGACGCCAAAACTGGACGACTCTTTTCTTCGTCGTGCGGATGGTAGCGCTGCAAGCGCCGTTCGGCTTGCAGGATCTGATCCTACGGCCGGCGCCGGGTGCACATATCAGCACCGGCCCGCCGAGGATCGACCGCCGCCGATCCCTTTAAGGGTGGCGTGGGTGGGAGAAAAGCTGAAGGCGTTGTACGCCTCGAGCCAGAGTGCTTCAGGCAGCTACGCCGTTTGCGGTTGTTACTGCGCACATAAATGTGCTACACGACAACCTACGTGCACAGGGAAGCCTACTGGGCGCGTCACTACGTATGTGGATGATCTGCTGTACTTGGCAGAAGAGTCGCTGGTCAAGGCAATCCATGAATGGGTGGAGTTAAAATGGCCGTGCAGCGCTTTAGAATGGGCTCGAGAACCTCAAGGAGGAGCTACTGAGAGGACATAAAGGACATGGTATGGATGATTCTGTGGGAACCCGACTTGCATGCCCTGAGGAATGGCTTCATGAAGGTGAGCTGCAAGATGATACCGTTCCTGTGGCGTTCATGGCGTCCCAGGTGAGCAAGCAGCCAAATCGAGTGGCCCAAATTGGGAGAAGAATCCTGTCCTACCTGAAGGCCACTCAGTCGCTCAAGCTCGTGATGGGCGTGGATGCCACGAATTCGGTGGACCCCTCCGTCATCCTCAGGAGCTACTCGGACACGAGTTTCTCTTCTTACGGGGAAAAGTCGTATGGAGCCAGTGTGGTGAGGTATCATGGAACTTCTCCAAGCAAGCGTTTGTGACGCTTCCGGATATGGGGGCAGAGCTGTGAATGCAGTGGTCGTCATGGAAAGTGTTGTGAGCATTCTGGATGAGATTTTGGGATGCCGTGCGAACCGAAACCTACGAGTGGACATTTCGTCGGCTTTGTCCATGATTCAAAGTGGTCGGGGAAGCTGGAGAACTCGCCACCTCAAGGTCAGGAGTGCCAAGATTAGGGACCTAGTGGAAAGTGGAGGGTTCACCGGTGATCTGCAGGTGGCGGACTTGGCGACGAAGATGCACTCCAAGATGAGGCTGTGGAAGCTCTTGAGTTTGTGGGGGTTCAAAAACCTTCTGCACGAGGCCGTGCAAGCTTTGAGCACGAAGGGTGCCTATATGATCCTGTATGGCTGTGCTGGTTCTGGCTTGGATGGTTGCCCCTGCAAGAGCGAGTGAAACCGCGGCTCCACAGGGACGACTTCAAGCAGTTGGCATCGATGAGCTGGTCCTGGTGTGTGTGTGTGTGTGGCAGCAGTTGCTATTTGGGGGGTGATAAAGGGAGTTTGCAGGTACCTTGCTGGGTTGATGAAGGAATCGAGAAAGCAAAGAAGCTACGGAAGCTTCGTGATGCAGTGAAGGCAGCGTCTGAGGAGGAGGTCGATCGTGCCTTTCTGACACGGCAGCATTTTGATGATGAACCGATTTCGAGCTGATGCCCGAGAAGGCCTACTGCAAGACGAATTCCTCTAGGTCTAAGCTGCATGTGGACCCTCACTGCCATGGCTTACGAAACTCTGGAGATGTGTTTGCAGTCGAGTACTGCACCCACTGCCAGCGTCATGTGCCACTGTACATGCGAAGGAGTCGATCCTTGCAGCCTACCAGGTCGTTCTAGTGGAACCTCCCGTGTACGTGGAAAGCCAATGAGTGCACGCAATAAGCTTGTGGAGCAACCTAGCACAACGACCTTTCTTTTGGATGCCTGTAGAGTGATTGGCGTGCGAGGCGAGTGTTGAATGGATGCTGTTCCTCAGTGGATCATGTGGTCCATGAACTGTGAGATGTTCCGCATATGTAAGCTCTGCAAGGGTTGTACGGCTCGGCTAAGCATGCGAAGCATATGCAGGCCACAACGCGCAGAAGCCGTTAAGCAATTTGGTTGTGTGCGGAAAAATCAATTCGATCTCTCGTGAGCGTGCCATGGTTGTGAAGTGATACGGAGAAGATTAACATGGCCGAGAACTCTGCTGTAAGCCCTGAGACACGACCTCAACCCCCCCCCCCAAGAGCAAAATACTGGTACAGTGTCTTGATACCATCATAAATAGTATTGAGAGTGTCTGTACTACTGCCACAGCGCGTGGAGCAAGGCTTTGCTTGACTTAGCGCAGGAACGAGGTTTGGAGGGGAGGATTGCCGACGGCCCGCATGCACAATTCCAGCGAAAGGATCTAGCGATGAAAAGGCAAACGACATCCTCCTGAATTGTCAGGCCCTAGAATGTTATATGGTTTGGACGGACCTGGCATGTCGAAGGGGTTTGCTGTCATGACGTACGACTTTTGCCTACCTATAAGTTTCGTTAAGATGTGATGACCATGTTTTTCGAAGAAGTACATCGGCCAAGGAAAGGCACTGAAAGCCAAGACCCAGGAGCCGATAAGTCAGAAATCCAAATCCAAGGGGCAACCTGGTCGGAAAGCGGCAAAGCCAAGAAGCCACAAAGCCTGTAAGCGATCTGTGTCAAGAAGTGGATGCAAGAGCCCGGCGGGAAGCCACAGCAGCCACAACACCCAAATTAAACTCCAAGGAGTCAGACAATAAACTGCAAAAATGACAATGTGAAAGACAGGATCTGTGCTGAGAGCGCTGCTGCTATTCTTTGTCGGGTGCCTTCAGTGTTGCTGCGCGCACGCACCTGGGGCAAGCGACGGGTCTGGGCTCTGTGCAAGTCCTCCGCTGCTCCAAGAAGCACACGTCCGCACCATCTACTTCCATCATCTTGCCCGTTGCCATGGATTTGAAATGGACCTTGCAACAACATCTGGAAGTCTTCAATATCTTTCTTGCTTCCAGGCCATAGTCAGGACCGAAGAGAATGAAGAGCTTAATGAGCTAATGGCAACCGAAATAAGTACTATAGCTTGGGGCCAGCATCATGTTCTCTAAGGTACCGGCTGATGTTCCAGACAGTACTGCTGCAGGTGAAGAAGTCTTTGCCTATGTAGACGCGATCACAACCAGCTTGTCCACTTGACGTGCTGAGTCTGTGGCCACGAAACGCATAGAGCTATCCGATCCTCCTTCGCCTTTGGCAACTTTTCGTGTATCTTCATCGGATGGTACACAGCCGCGCAGCCCGGCAACTCGAGTATGTATTGTTGAATTGAGATAGAGGATCACAAAGTCATGTGTGTTCTTACATCGAGCAGGTCTCGGCCTTTCTGCATCAGCCCCACATCACCCGATGGCAATACGCCAAGCCTCTCAAGCTTGTTCGCAAGTAGCGAAGGTTGAGACTTGAATTTGAATGCAGACGCTGTCACAGAGGCTAGGGTGAATGCCAAAGCAATCGTCCATCTGTGGAGTCCAGCTTGAAGCCCACTCGGCCTCGAGAATCTTGCAGGGAATGCAAAGCAGGCTGACATTTCACAGTGTGTTCTCAAGCTCAAGGCAATCATTCTTCAAAGCGGGACCCTTGAACTCAACGACCTCGATAGAGCAGTACTTCCCGTGCTAGATCATACAGACATGGTGCCTAGAGGCGGAATCTCGGACCTTTGCAAACGCCGCGGCTTGCGCTCGATCGGCTGCGTTGCACAGCACCTGCGTGCCTCGCTGCATGGAGCCCTGTGTCGTGTCTTGTGGTTCGCTTATCGAAGTCTGATAGCTCAGTCATCTCAGTAGCTGGCCATCTTTCACAGCCATCCTGCAACTGGAGTGCGAGCCATACCGGACATTTTGTCCCTGCACATGGCCTATGGAACTGACACAGGACGATAATGCAAGCCATACGAGCATGGCAATTTGACACTGACATGACAAGCAGTGTCTCCATCGACCGGTATGGCCACGAAGATAAACCTCAGACTCATCCGGAACGACATCTTTTGTGCGCGCACGTGTACTTGCGAGAGGGAGTCGGCAGGGGCGCAATCTTGAACCGGTGAAACTGTGAATTTGCGTTTCTTTCTGTAGGGCCGCACGGGATGTAGCAATCAATTTTGCTCGGGTGCGGGCGGCATTACAGTCTGTACTGTAGCGAATCCCCGTACAGGTGCACCTGTGTACCGGGACAAATCATGTTAGACAACAACCCTTCCTCTGCTAGGTCTCCTCAATGTGCTGGGTTTCGGCCGGAATTGTTTTTTACGTTTTCCTTTCTGCTCCTTTATTCAAGAAATGGACTTGGTTTCTGCTCTATCCTGGTCAAGAACCCCACTGTGATTTGAGAGAGGATGAACATGGTTTTTGGTAGCTTGGCGGTGTGCAAACAAGTTTTGGTGTTTATGAAACAAGTGTCACGGGGATCGAAACCTCAGTCGCGTGAGAACAAATATCAAAAAAATGTACTAAAATGGGTTTTTCTTTTTTTTAACAGGTATCAAGAGGTATCGCCTATTGCTAAGGCAATCCGACGACTCTACTCCTACTCCGAACTACTGCTACTGCCTATTCTTCTTCTGCTTCTGCTACTGTACTACTTCTACAACTGTTGTACTACAACAGTACGGTCTGTACGATCGTACCACTGCACTACTGCACCACATTGTACCGCTGTACTCTTCTGCCCTATATCACTACTGTACTATGAAGTACAAAGAACTCATCTCCCTTTACAACCCTGCGGAATGCACCACCTCCACACCACTCGAGAGTTTAGAGAGCACATCTCCCTCTGCAGCCGGGTCTTGCTTGTCACCCCCAACCAATCAGGGGCGTCCGTGGCGGAGCTTCTTCAGGGCGCCGGAGGTTTGTCGGGGCAGGGACCGCCCAAGTCGCAGTGCCAAGTTAGACTTGGACCCTGTAGACACGTGCAGAGATATGCATGACAGAGAGGCAGAGAGAAAGGAGAAAGAAAGATTCGCCGACCCAGCTTTGCGTGAGGCGGCACCTCGATGACTCGATGAGCTGTGCATGTTCAGTTGGTCGCAGTTTGCGCGAAGACCTGCTTGCGTCTGCTTGTGTGCTTCTTTCCACACCTTTCGCCCAGCCGCATTCCTTCGAATTCGCGAGCCCCGCCGCTCAGCCGTGCGTCGTGTGCATGGCATATCACCATATGCCGTGCTGGTAAGCTCGCTGCCGTGTCTTGTGGCTTGATCTGGCCACTCAGACCCACGCTGTCCAGAACCTCCTGGCAAGGATTCGAGCACGATCGCAGCCAAGCAGAACCATTCAAGACATCATTGTGCCCAAAATGCATGTGGCTACGACAAACGACCACCTGCAGCATGTCTCCTCTTTGTGGTTGTCCTTTGTGGCCAACATTTCCAGTATCTCGAACAGCGTCCATCTGTCCCCCTCCTGCACATGCAGTAAAGGTCGCATGGAAGTGCTTGGCAATGTGGCACTGGGTTCTCACTGCACTCTCACTACCGTACGTATGGCAGGGTGACGCGGCGTGTGATGCAAACCATGCGAACACGTGGATCGTGCACAAGGGGCAGAATCGGGTGAAACAGATGCGAACCTCGGTGCCGAAGCCGGCCGATCTCTCCATCCTGGTCCTGAGAGCTGGGGTACTGATTGCCGTGAGTGTTCTTCACGGCCGCCGTTTTTGAGTTTGAGTTTCGTGAGGCTCAAACAACAAACTTTTCTCTCTCCGAGCAGCCTGAGCCAGGCGTCGTGGCCTCCCTCCTCGGCAGCCTACGCAAGAAATAGCAAGAATACAGAGCCGTGCAGTACAACAAAACACACAATGAAGAAATCAACGCTTTGATGCCAAGGTCACGCACCTGTCCGGATCGATCCGGTGCCTGGATGCGGGGTGTCGGCTGCAACTTCTGCAGGCGGCAGTAGCAGTGCCCAAAGCCTCGGAGACCTCGTCCACGACAGTGCTTGTGTCGGCCTCTTCTGCAGACCTCTGCGTTGCCGTGGTGCATTTCCTTTTCCTATAAAGCTCGCACTTTGTCATACTGTGGTCACGACCACGGTGGCGTCGGCTCCTGCTAAAGAAAAGATCGGCAAAGATCTGGCTCACACTCTTAATGTCGTCCTCACTGCGTCCACTCTCACCTGCGACTGTCTGCAATCACACTGGCCGATTATGCGACTGCTTTCGTGCTGGAGGCTGGGGCATGCAAAATGCGTGCAAGACCTGCTATACGACTTTCGGATCAAGTGCCTGAAAACGTTGGAATTGCTCGACGCTCTTGGAGACTGAGCTTCTCCGACGACCATCCGGCATTACAGCAGTCCCAAAAAAAACGGGCCGGCCTCCGGCAGCGCTCTCCTCGGCAGGAAAGGGGGGCATGAGCCAAGCCCAGAAGGCCGCTGGTACGCAACTGAATTTGGCAGAGGCCTGAACTGTTTTTGCCTCTGCATCCTTGTGTTCCTTTTTTTCCTGCATCGACATCGCAACCTTTGGCAATTCTCTCCTGGTCACGCCGGCATAGCCTGGCCTTTTCTCCAGAAGTGCCTTTGGACCTGTCCTTTTTCTTCTTCTTCGGCTTTGCATCCCTTAGCACCACGAGACTGCCAGGTTCCCATTTTTGTACCGTTCATACCTTGCGCAGAAGCTGCGGGCTTCGCTTTGCTTCCCAAGCAGAAAGCTGGAAAGCTACCCCTAAATGTGAAAGCTCGTAAGATGAGCCCTAAGCAGGGTTTTGCAGGCTCAGAAGCACTGCAGGATGAGACTCGGTTCCTCTAGCGTGCCCATGCGTGCCCTTGCCGGTTCGGATACCTCACTGGCAATTTACAAATTTCATGGTGGATGCGCCGGCGGTCTGCTGTGGCTAGAATCTGCTGCTTTGTGTCGGGTGCTCTGGCTCCAAGGCCGAGGCAGGAGGCCGTCTGCAGCCAAATCCGAAGACTGGGACTGTGCTGAGGACGATCGCGGCTTAGTTCAGGCGATTCCACAAAGGCAGGCTCCAAGCATCCCAAGGTTCAGACTCTGCGCTGCTCCTTCGAGCCAGCGCTCCGCGACGGCCTTTCTTGAGGCTAGAGAGGCCACATCCCGACATTGCGTCGCTACGTGGGCCCAGACGTGGTCGAAGCCGAGGATGGGCGCGACTTGGCTGCTGTGCTTGGCTTCGCTTGCCTGACGCGAAATGCTGACGTGCAAGTCGGTGTCAGTGCTGCAGTGGGCAAAATAACTAAGGTGCCAGCAGAACAGGAGCACCACTGACATCAAGCCATGCGACACTACCTGAGTCGGCCGCGACAAGGTGGTTAATAAGCGGCTGAGATCGAGGTCTCTTGACTGTATGTGATGGTCTAGACTGCTCCATGCTGAAGCTTGTCGAACATGCGTGCCCTAATCGGAGGAAAGACAGGTCCTTTATGATTCATGCGGGACTCGCCTGCGCCCACAGCAGGACCGCTGTCGACCCTGCATCCAACACCAATGCACTTTGCCGAATGCAGCTGACGGCAGCTGAACACTCGTCATTGTGAGACTGCTTTGTCGCAACTCGGCATGATCAGGCGAGGATTTCGGGCTGGACTCGAAATTCAGGGCTCCGCTTTTGAAGCAGCCGTCACCACTGCAACCATGCTCAAATCTTGTCGGCTTGGCGTCGCTGTCGTGCGAGATCGCGGCATCCACCCTGACCATCCCAGCGTGGGCCTTGGTAAAATTGCTAGGCATCAGTCTCCTTCTGCACGTCTACACTCACGCAGCATCTGGAACAGTTCGTAGGCCGACGACGCCGAACTGGCTCTTTGACCAGTGAGGTTTCAAACAAACAAATAGCAACCCATAACACTACCTAGTAAACACATGACGCAAGTCTGCACACGAAAGTGCTGAAGCCCATCGGTTTGCAGCAGGTTGACGCTTTTTCAACGGCGACTGAACGATCAAGATGCATGGCGAGTGGCCCATCGCCAGCGACAGTGGCACGCGAGCCAGCCTGTCGCACCCACCCAACATCGCATGAGGAGTACATTGAACAAATTTGCCTCTGCCCGGAGTGCTGCAGCCTGTGACAGGAACAAAGTCGATCCAGGGATGTGCAATTTTTCTTGCTGAACTTGGCCAGGGACGAGTGTGCCGTTCCGCATGGTGGGTGCAAAGCAGTCCCACCTCAGTCAGTGCCATGACAGCTTGCAGTAGGTCTATAGTAGGTCGACCAACTCGCTTGTCACGATGTCGGCTTGGGGTGCTGCAGCACAAGCTTTGCTATAGCCTGATCTCACGTGGAAACACACAGGCCGCTGTGTTCGCTTGCTTCGCCACAAATAGCAAACGGGGAGCTGGCCCCCAAAACAACTGCCGGTGATGCCATGTTTCCTGCAGGAACCGTGCTTCCCGACCTGCAGGTACGCAACCCATCAAGACTCTCTGCGGCAGTATACAAGCTTACTTCAAACTGCAGCAAACGCAGGCAAAGGGCACAGAGCACTGGTCGAGAAACGCGAGGCCTGAGAACTTGGCTTTCGAAATGCACTTCCGCATCTTCCGCCACGATCCGGATTGCTCAGCCCGCAACTGGACGATGCATCGCCCCCTGTCTGCCACCTTAGACACAACCACAGCGCAGAGATGAAACATCAACACTTCACCGTCGCGACATTGGCGACTCCTAGCTGCCCGTTAAGTGTCGAGCAAGCTTCCGGCATCATTCCCAGTCAAGTCGGTGCGCCCAACGAGAAGCGATCCCGACCTCGCAAAGGGATCATCGATCCGTGCATTGGCACGGGATCTGCCGAGCTCTGAGCAACCCCAGCGCTTGTTTCAAGTGACGGCTGATGACGGCTGGTCAGAAAGCATAGCATTGCTCGGCCCCTAGACCTGCTCTATCCTCATAGAGGTGGAACCGCACTTGTGTGCCCGAGGACAGCGCTTCCCCGTTCAACACATCTTGTGAATGTACATAAAGCTGCCCTTTGTGGGCATACGCCTTTGGATGATTGACTGCATGCTCGGGCTCTATCCAGCCCACCTGACCCTTCCAGAACACCACTTTGCCAGTAAGAGGTTCTGCACTGATGCGAGTTCGTGGCAAGTATGGGCCAGAGGTAGTCCAGCGCGGACTTTGACCCGTTTCCATGGTTGGTGCGGGGGCATTGGGAGGTACCACCTGAACTGCAGCTACCAAGTCAAAGACATGCTTCTCGGCGCGGATGATGCTTTGCAGCTCGCCCTCAATAATGCAGGGACGTTGGCCTCGGACTTCCTCTCGCAGCAGCTGGATCTTTGCATTGGATTGCTTGCGGATTTGCTTGAGTACCCAGCCCTGCTTACCAATGACCATTCCTGCAGCTTCTGCGCGAACGAAAAGAACAACAGCAGTCTCCGTTGTGGGCTCTTTGCCCTCTGCGCGCAGTGCGTCCATCAAACGCCCGTGCACCAACTCTTGCACAATTACACACTGGTTATAGGTGCCGAATATCACGATGCGGTGATGTCCAATGATGCGGTGCTGTCCCACCGTCTTCCGGGAAATCATACGTACCTGACACCCGAGGGTCGAGGAGATCTGCTTCAGCTGCGGGCCGCTCTTGCCCATAATCGTGCCCGCAAGCCGGTCAGGCACCACCAAATGCAGCTGCATCACTGCTGGGTCAGAGCTCGGTGGTGAGACTTCGCCTGTCGTTATCATCGAGATGGATCGCTTTGGGACAATCTGGAGGTTCTGTGGCACATCAACGCGCGGAGGAACTATGACTGGACTCACCGGACCCTGCTCTGTGGGCGGTGGTGGCTCTGGCACAACAGCTCCAGGTTCAGCCTTCGCTGTGTGGCCCACGCTCGATTCATTGGGAACTGTCTCTGCAGGTGACTCCGTGGGTTTCTTGGCGGGCACGCTCGCCACCTGGCCGACCTGTCCTGTGAGAGACGGCTGGGGTGCAATCGGCCGCATGGAGGGTGAGGCGCTTACAGATCGAGTCCGCTTGGGTTTGTCCGACTTCTCGGCTTCATCCGGAGACTCCACTTCGTAACATAGCCATTCGTGGCGACTCAAAGTTGCCAGGTCCGTTCGCTGACGTGGCTCCAGCTGCAGAAGTCCAAGCACCACGGACTTTGAGGTGTCACTGATCTTCAGCTTGCCAACTATCATCTGTAATTCTTCTTGCTTAAAAGGAATCTTTGAAAAGGGGAAATGCCCCGCTAGCAGGACAAAAAGCAGTACACCCAAGCACCAAAGGTCGGAACTGAAGTCGTGCGAATCCTCCCTGAGAACCTCAGGAGCTGTGTACGGCCGTGTGCCAACCGTGGATCGAGCTTCGCTGAAGCCAGCTCCTATTGCCTTCCAGGGGAACATCACTACACAGTGCGGCAAAATGTAAACTCTGGACTTGGTCTAACCGAACGCCTACAAGTCAGTCGCCAAAATCCACAGGACGCCAATCGCAGGCCACTTAAATTGACACACGGATCAGGTCTTCATTTCGCACCTAACGAGTCAACCGGATTCATAAGTCATGGACCTGTCATGGGAATTGGGCATCCTAGCATTTTCGTTCTGCTCTTGTCTGCAAACATTCTCCGAGTGTCGTCGCCCTGCCTTGGAAAGGCCAAAGTCTGTAATCTTCACAGTGTAGAGAATCAGCGGACGTTCACGGCGCTCCCCATGCACTAGAACGTTCTCGAGCTTCATGTCCCGGTGGATGACACCCTGTCCTCACCGAAAAGTAGATAAGCTCGCAACTCGCTGCCAACGCATGCCAACGCTCCAATTAAGATGTGAGGCTCGGGATTGATATGTCGTGCTTCAATGTTCATCATCTGGTGGCTCTACGTGGGTGTTGTCGTCACTGCGGACTCGACCTCTTGGCTATAGTTCTAGCTTCCTGCAAGTAACCAGAAACAATCCACGCCATGCTGCGGACCTGCGTTGCGGAATTGCTGCCTGAACCTGCAAGTGCATCCGCGTGCGCTTGGGCTCCATCAAATCAGGATGACCCCGCATCACCGGCCAATCGTGCCACCATGCGGAGAGGGGAGGGGTGGCCAGGCTGTGCGCTTCACGAGACCGCGCTAGACGACAACAACAACAACAAGAACAAGAACAAGGACAACAAGGTATGTACGCCATTCGCCGCCCTAGAAGGTTGTACAAGCTTTGAGACACATCCCAACCTCAAGTGCGAAGCACCAGAAGCCTCAACCACAATCTAAATGCCCTGAGATGCCATGGGAAGCCTCGAACTGTAGCATGCCTACACGTGAAAGCAAGTTTTGAGACGTCATAGATGCATCTGTATGTGCACGTGTTTGTATATACATGCAGCATATGTGTCTGTACATATGGCTTGCAAACAGGCTGGCCGCAAGTTTTTGGCCAAAGTCTACAACAAACTGGAAACGAATGTGCATTCTGGCCTGGACAAAGCCTCTGGCAAGAGTCTGGAGAAAGAAACTCGAAGCACAGGACTGCTGGAACTGGCATGTCAGGCCCAAGCTGCAGCAATTCCAACACCTTTGTGAAAGCAAATTCTCTGTTAAGGATTTTTGGTGCCATGCAGATGACATCCTGGGAAGGCACTTAGCGCAGCTCTTCCTTCGCAGAGGTGGTGCTGATAATCCTGGCGAAAACTGTGCTCGAGCTTTGGAGAAATGGCAGCAGATTTCGCCATTTCCTGCGGTTGCCAGGCCTTGAAGCAAAATAGTTGCTGCTGCTGCTGCTGCGGCGTGCGCAGGGCTTGAAGTGGTTTGCTAGGCCAAAAGCCTCAACCAGTCGCGACGACTCTGGCATGATCCATTCCCGGCCTCCCCACGCGGCACCGGTCCGCAGGTGCCACACGCGAGGGGAGTCCCGGTAAAGCTCCAGCTTGGGCGACCAAGGGCAACACGTGCCTAACCGGGGTTCTTAAACTGGAACATGAGCGAGGCGTTCTCCAACACGTTCCAGGAGGAAAGCCTCGCGGCAAAGTTCCGAGACCTCCACAGTCCTGAACGGCCGGCTGGAGGATGTGGTTCTTAAACTTGAGGCTGTTCGTGAACCTGTGCTGGAAGTTGACGAAGAAGGCGAAGGCCGCGTACGGACACAAATCCAGGTTCATGACCCTGGCGCTCTGGGGACCACTCTGCCTCAGGCCGAACCGGTCCGTTTTCGTACTTCACGAGCATTTTGTTAATGTCTATCTCCGCCTGCTTCTGCCTCGTCCACCTGGTCCAGGACAGTGCTCACCTTCACCTTCCTTTTGGCCAGGCCCACCCCTGCCGCGGGGCCTGGGCAGGTGCAGCAGCAGCCGTGGGAGGTGTCGGGGCGGTACTGATCGACTCCACCACCGTCAGGCCACGCTGACCAGGCGCCACACGCGGGGGCGCATCAGCGGGAATGTTCCCGGAAGTCCGAAGATTGGGAACACCACCCACGGCAGTATCGAGGAATGCCCACACCGCTGCCTTTAGACCAACCGACTAACCCATGCCAGAGCACTGGCGATGGTGGGAATCCCATTCAACTAAGCCTCTGTAGGCAAGTCAGGTGCAGCCATGGCTCGAGAAAACGGATCTTGTCCTTGCAACTCCCAAGGACCCGAGGGGCCGAAGCCCGACCCCGTTCCTGGGAGCCCCGTCGAGCCACAGCTCGGGAAGGACACAGATCAAGAGAAGGAACCCGGCCTCCAGCAAACACTAGGTTGTTATTATTAGCACCTAATGCATAACAACTACAGAAGCAAAGACAATCACATAAACGGGCAGACAGACAGACACGCAAACGGACAGTCAAACAAGAAACAACAATCAACACAACCAGCAACAACAAGACAGGAAGGACCGAAAAAGATGCCAGGAATAAGACGACTGCCTGTAGCAAGAAAAACCCATTCACCAACATCTAGATTCTAGATTCTAGATCGGCATCGGGGAGGCTACTTCGTCATGTGGGCTGACATTGGGGTGCCAGTGATCAGTTAAACATGCTCGCGTCGCAGCTTCCAGCGAGTGTCACCAAAACCAGCTTAACCATGTGCAATGGCTGATAACTAGTGTATACCTTCTGCAGCTTTCGATCCTTTCGGAAACCATGATCACTGCCAAGACACCATGCAAGAATGCAAGCCCACCTGCCAGCTGCGCCAAGACAAAAGCAGCCTCACGCTCGTGCAGTCTGGGTGGCTCCCTGTTCGTCAGAACCTCGCATCAGCAGAACGTGGCCATGTGATGGACGCGCATTGCAAAAACCACTGCGACTACTCCACATTCCACGTTTGACCATTATCTTGCTGACCCGGCGCAGTGTACAAGTCCCCACCACCGACCAGCTCTAGGACCAAGAGAAACCACTCACCTTCTTCGAAGGTATCCACCAGCCTCGACAACAAACGTGGATCGATTGCAAGAACATGCAGTGCACAACCACCTAATTGCAACGGTCTGTGCCGTCTAGCAGAAATACTAAGATATGTGGTGGCAAGTTGCTGAACAATGTTTGGGTGCGGTGGAAGACGCTTCAGAATCTCAACTTCTCGGCTCAGCTTCTTCTCCTCGCGCTCTGCATTAGGCTGGAGATGAAGCCTTCGCAGGTCCACTGCTTTGACGGCAAAGCCCGCGGCAAAGCCTCCTTCTGTACCCTTCTTGTGGCACACAAAAACTTGGCCAGAGGCGCCTCTGCCAAGTTCGCGACCCCTTCTGTAACCATGAAAATATCGGGGAGGCTCGCCCGCTTTCACCTCCACCAAGTCCTCCTCATCACTGCCACCCGTGACGTCCACCACTTCGGTGACATAGTCGTCACTGTCTGCATGAATGTTTACGATGTCCTCCACCTCCATTTGCCCTGCCCGCCGCGGTGAACATGAGCCGGGGTGCTCTTGAGCCGATGCATGAAGCAAGTTGGCAACGCAACAGCTGCTCGATGATGATAGAAACGAGAAGCCTGGGAGAGTTGTCTGAACATGCATCTAATCTACTTCACTTTGAAGCTGTAGTGTTCTGGACAGCCTTTTGTGGGCTCAGGACCTCAGACCGGCGGTAGCCCCGCCCCGAAATCATCCACCCCGTCGCTGAGCAACCAGCCTGCTGCCTGCAACCACGCCAAAGTGCCCGTTACCTGAGCACTGGCGCATTGCGCCGAAAAAGCTCAGTCGCGCGACAAGGAAAGCCCGGTGGCGGATTGAAACATCCTTCTCTTCGTTGTAAATTTTCTCGAGTCAGAGAATTTGCGAAGTGTGATTGTGATGCAATTCGCAGCAAGCCTTAGTAGCAGGGTGCAAATTATGTGTATATACACACACATACTCTTGTGTAGTCCGAAGGCTTGGCAGGTCCTTGGTCTTGACATGCATCTTTGGCTACACACTGTTCTTCTTGATATTGCTCTGGTGAATCATCCGCGCAGCATGTAAACACTGACATATGCTGCCCTGCAATGCTGAGGTTCGTTGGCTTTTGCATCTGCAGAAAGAGCAAAGGTGCGCTCTTACTGGGGCTTTTGCCTCACATCCAAACGCAGGCAACTAAGGGTCACCAGCCCTCGCTTGTCATCAGGCTTAATAGCTTTTTTCGGCAAGGTCAGAAATCCGATGGCATGCCTCCTTACGAGGCAGAATCCTTGGTGAACCGGCGACTGAGCAGCAGACGACTGATGTCAGACGATTCGGCCAGCAAGGAGGCATTGTCTGCCTGGCTTGTGAATCTTTACATGCTAGATAAGAGCTGGGAGTAGCTCCATTATTCTTGGTTCGCATCGTGTGAACCCAGACTCCAAGATGGATCCTAGAGGGTCCTAGACAAAACTCTCAGCTCCACGCGAGGAAAACACCACCTTGGCGGTTGCTCTTGACCTGGCATCTCACCTTGACACGCTGAGCACGCTGCTGGTTCCGGAAGTCATTGTCTGGAAACACATCGGTGCCAAACCATCGAAGCCGATGCTCCATCTACCAGCAGCAAGCCGTTTCCTGGCAGCATGTGCTGTACGCGCTTGCATGACCGGTCCACCCTCACACCGTTCAGCAATCCGTCATGATCATCTGAGAACCGAGCAACGCAATCTCAACTAAGCCTAGTTACTAAGCTTCTGTCACGTCTGCATTTGCAAGCATCAGTGACACGAGCCTGTCGCTCCCGCAAGAGAGCATCCGATCAGCAACAGCTTGGACTCAGCGCCTCACGAGAGAAAAACTGGCCGGGCAGTCAATCCCATCTCCGGTCAAACGTGGCGGCAGCGCCAGCTGCCCGAATGCAGTGTGTGGGCACCTGCTTCCCCGAGAACTTCAATATGTCCGAGAGCTGAACACTGTCGAAATGAGGATATGTGCTTGGGGCTTTCCTTTCGTTTCAATCATTCGTCGTTTTGTTCTGCTGCCGCGGGGCGGCCTTGCTTTGAAGCAAGACAATGAGGAATTTCATCTGAATGCCTCTGCTTTGAAGTAACCTGCTTTGAAGTAACTAATGGAGACGGCAGAGTTGGCAACGCAATAATGGTAAAAGCAATAGTAATTATAATTATAGTGGCAGTACTGGCGGTGGTGGTGGTGGTGGTGGTGGTGCATGCGGAACTGGCGTCTTGCCCGTGCCTTTGTTCGGAGTATTGGCGTGATTGGTGATTGCACCCTGTAGGTTGGTTGGCAAGCCACACACCCTAAAAGGGGAGATGTGGGTCGGTACTTAAAGCCCCAAACCCTCAAAGGACACGTCGGTTCAGAAATCCCAAACCCCAAAACGGAGATGTTGCCTGGCAAAGACCTAACTGGTCAAGCCCCAGCACCAAATTTACGGTTGATCGCATTTCTCAAACGCCCCGCATTATGCGATGGCTGTGGATCGCATGTCTCAAGGCACATTTCACGTTTATCAAGCCCACCTTTCTGCAAAGCGATGGGGGCCGTTGATCATATTTCCCAAAACTCACTCCCTCATTTCGCGATGGCCGTTGATCATGTTCCTCAAGGTGATGGTTGGTCACACGTCGTAAACTCGATTCCTCATGAGGCGATGCCGGTTCCCTGTCGTTTGGCGTTGGCGGTTGCGATAGCAGGGTTGTCTCTAGCCGCCCCGGGCGATAGCGGTTGATCGCCTGTCTACCGTATGTAATTATGCCATGACACGCTCGTTCGTGTGTGTTTGTGTTTGTCTCTGTGTGTGTGTGTGCGTGTGCGTGTGCGTGTGCGTGTGCATGTGCGCGTGCGCGTGCGCGTGCGCGTGCGCGTGCGCGTGCGCGTGCGCGTGCGCGTGCG